AATTAGTTTTGGTGCAATTAATAATTTCTTACACTTTAAATATATTGCATTTACTATTCTACTGCACTTTTTTTCTGGCTGATAAATTAACTTAATTATTTCTTAAAGGCATTTTTTTGTTCTTACATTTTATTTTTTTTAATAATTTAGAAAATCCCATGATCGAGACTTTATTTAGCTATTATTATCTTTCCAATGAGCGTTTAAAAATAGATTCTAAAAAAGCAATTGTACAAGCAGGAAAAATATTAATTCCTTCCTTCCATAATATATAGGATCGACTTATTTCCATATTGTTTTGTTATTTCTTCACTAAACAAAATTTTCTGCAAATTATTCGCACGGACCAACTAGTTATGAATTAATATAGTTATTTAAATAAAGGAAGGAGATGGTCTGGGGTTGCGGTCATATATAGGCTAAATAGTGGTAAAACTATTTTATTGAAAGCCGAAGTTTCAACCCGACTTTGTAGGTCTTCTTCAGGGCTAGAACGGACAAGATACAAAAAGATAGAGAATTGTGGCAGTTAACTTAAAAGTGAAAAATAACTTATATATTCTATTGTATTATTTTCATCTACTCTCAATTTTATTGATTAATTCATTTAATTGTTCATTATTCTAAATATTTCCTCTTTGTATGATCTCTCTTTTATTTTATTCTAAATTTACATTTACGCTCTACATCAATGTATGATCATCCTTTTTCCACTTTGTATTAATTTTAGTTATTAAACATGTCTCAATATTATCTAATATTCAAATGTGATTTTCTTACATATGTACAACCAAATATAATTATAATTATAAATTTTTTCCCTCTCTATACTTTTAAGTTAGTTCTGCAATGTATGTATGTAAATGAATTTATTTCTATATATATATGTTTTACTTTTGCCAATTTTGGGTTTATTCACATTGTATTCTGATCTATAATCTCGCAATTCTATTCTATATGTAATTTCCTAGGTTTTTCCCAATTACCCAAACATAATAGCTTCCCCTATACCTGCCCTTACCCTTGGTTTTCCCGTTCTAAGTGAAACTCCTAGCTGAACACACCTGTAAATCTCTAATTTTATTCTTCCATTTTATTTACTTATTTATCTAATTTTTAATCTCCTTTTTTCTTTTCTTTCTCCACATTCCTTTATCTCTATTATTTCATATTATATCCTTTTTCCTTTTCTTTCAATCTCTCCTGTAGATTTGTAGATGTATATTCACATTTTCATTTATTATATATCACACTACAACAATTGTTAGCATCTATTTACTTCAGTTTAGGATCCTTTTACTCAGCTTACTTTGTTCATATTTTATTGTACTTACTGTTTATAATTTTAATAAGCTTATTCACATTGTTTATAAATTATGTCTAAATATTACGTAACTGCCACAATTCTCTATCTTATTGTATCTTGTCCATTCTAGCCCTGAAGAAGACCTGCAAAGTCGGGTCGAAACGTCGGCTTTCAATAAAATAGTTTTACCACTATTTATGAGCGCAACCCCAGACCATCTCCTTCTTTTATGATGCAACGGTCAACTATTAAATATTCAATATGATCCAGTTATTTAAATACATTTTTATTGAAACTAGAATATAAAATAATAATAAAATAAAAACGAAATAGCTGTAATAGTTAAATGAAATGATCACTTGACAGATGGCTTAATGAAGTTAATAGGCCCAGCTACGGACCCCACGTATTTGTCCCAATTACACGGTGCCCTCGATAATTGACAGGACATAAGTGCCGAAGTGGCGCGGCTCTATATGCTTCAATGCTGATTGGAGTTATGTAATTGGACTTTTTCCTATCGCCCATATATTTTTTTATTTTTCATAAATCGACAACTCGCCAGTGAAGAGGGAAAAAAAGTATCGGAATATATTTTATTTCTAAATCGGCCGCAGTGAGATCACGTTCGTAACAAAATCAAACGTGGCGACAGAGGGCGGTAAATGGATTATTGCTGAGTTTTCATCCCTTTCCATTTGGGATCAACTCCTTCAACTCTTATTACGACCGCCATTTATTCGGCTTAATGTTTGACCGACCCTCGAGGAGGATTTGCCATACAATCAGATTTACATGCAAATTACAAAGACGGATTTACTATTTTTCTTGACTGATGAAGTAGGCGAGTAATCATAATTAATATTCATGAATGGAAAATTCTAGCGAATCCCTTAAAGATGAATAATGTCATTGGTTCGTACTGTTTCCGATCGTATATACTCTCTTAGAACTTGGACTACATGGATAAAGGTAATCCAAAAACGGAAAATAAATTTCCATTTAAATTACACGTTACAAGCTCCCATAAGTAAATTGTTGATGAGAACTGTTATTTTATTATTTTGAATATTTAATAGTTGACCGTAGCATTCCAAAGAAAGGAGATGGTCCGGGGTGGCGGTCATAAATAGGCTAAATAGTGGTATAAATATTTTTATTAAAAGTCGTTTCGACCCGACTATGCAGGTCTTCTTCAGGGAGGTGTGTTCAGCTAGGAGTTTTACTTAGAACTGGCGAGTTCTACTTTCACTTAAGAGTCCTAAGTGAAAATCCTAGCTGAACACACCTCCCTGAAGAAGACCTACAAAGTCGGGTCGAAACGTCGGCTTTTAATAAAAATTAACTAATTCTAGCATTCTTCTAGTTCTAGCTTCGTCCGATAACCGTTACAGATGACGCCACCTCCACATCCCTTCTCTCTCCACCTTCTTTGTAACGACTTCATTCTCACTTTGACATTTTAGGAGAAAGGTACTACTTCTTTTATTTCTTTCTTATTTCAGCTTTCTCAATTTCTTCCCTCCTTCCTTTCATTCCTTTTCTCTGTTGTTAACTCTCTATTATATTATACATTGTCTGTACATCTCGATAGACTTTACAATATCTCAATTTTCTATCAAACTACTCCATTCTCAATGTTTTCATTTTACTATTTATTTTATTCTCATTTCTTATATAACTTTATATTTCTTTTTTATGTTTTTACATTTTATTCTAAGATTCCCAATGTAACACTTTTGTCACCCCCTTTTTGATTATGCCTACTTCATCATTCCACACTATGTAACAGTCTGTATTATTTATCTCTTAGTTCTTAGTCATTATTCTAACAATTTTATTTTACTTTATATCTATCTATTTTATTTTTATTTTATCTAGATCTATTTTATCTAGATCTAATCTATTTTATTTTCTCATTTTTTTTTTGTTATTATCTTTTTTACCATCATTACTTAAGTTTCTCATACCTTGTTATCTGGTTATTTTCTTAGCCCTGATGATGGCCTGAACTTCAGGTCGAAACGTCGGCAGATGTAAAAAATAAATATTATAATTTATTTTTGCCTTCCTTTTTTGACTGAGCACCCCAACTATTCTTCTCTTCTTTAATAAAAATAGTTTTACCACTATTTAGCCTATGTATGACCGTCACCCCGGACCATCTCCTTATTTTATTATTTTGTTTTAGAATGAAGACTATTATCACGAACTGTTAACTCATGACTAAATGTTGTTAATAACTAAAAAATAACAGAATGACAACATTTAGTCATGAGTTAACAGTTCTTGATAATAGTCTCAATTCTAAAACAAAATAATAAAATAAGGAGATGATCCGGGATGGTGGTCATAAATAGGCTAAATAGTGGTAAAACTATTTTTATTAAAAGCCGACGTTTCGACCCGACTTTGTAGGTCTTCTTCAGGGAGGTGTGTTCAGCTAGGAGTTTCACTTAGGACTCTTAAGTGAAAGTAGAACTCGCCAGTTCTAAGTAAAACTCCTAGCTGAACACACCTCCCTGAAGAGGACCTGCAAAGTCGGGTCGAAACGTTGGCTTGAAATAAAATAGTTTTACCACTATTTAGCCTATTTATGACCGCCACCCCGGACCATCTCCTTCCTTTGGAATGCTACGGTCAACTATTAAATATTCAAAATAATAAAATAACTGTTCTTGGAGAAGAAGAAAAAGAAAAGTAAGTTTTATTCTGGTACATCTAGGCCAGAAATAATTAAATTACAGTGTGACGTAACCTTAGAATTAATATAACTAAAATTAATCTAATAAAATTGTAGAGAAATTAATATCACTATGATAACATAATAAATAGATAACTGTGGAATAATACTAAAATGGGACTGACAATACTTAAATAAGAAATTTTAATTCTTAGATTTTCGGAAGATTGATTGCTCAGGAGATGGATGAATAATTGTTGCTTGAGAAGTTAAATATGAATTTTTGCATATGGAGCTGGTAAGGAATTCCAAAACAAGGTAGAAAAGGATAAAAATTATAAAGGATGTTTTAAAGAGAGCAGTTCTATGAGAAGGAATACACAAGTTTTTGGGCTGAGATATCGTGTAGTGAGAATTGATAGTAGAACAAGGAATGATCAAATCAATAAAGTAAGTATGTTTTTTGGTTGTAAAAGTTTGGAAATGGAATACATCTAGGAAGTATTTCCCTTAGAAAACTACATTGAATTCAACTCGGCATACCAACTGGAGACGTGGGAGCGCGCCTGGAGACTCCAAAGATAAATCTCATGAAATAATTCATTAGTTTCTTCAATCGTATCCCTAGTCCTTCAGTCAGTCCAACGTATACAATGCAGTTATAATCGAGGTGGAGAAAATAAGAGAGGGAACTAGGAGCTGGCAGAATCACGGAATCTCAGGAACTGTTTAGCTATAGATTTTTAGCTATTTATAATATATAATAATTATTAATTATATTTATATTTATATTAATTATATATAGATACTTATAATAGTAATATATATAATTATTTATATATATTAATAATTATATATTGTATGATTAGCTATAGATTCGGGTAGCTATAGATTTCGGGATAATTCGGGCAAAATGTTTATTCCAGGAGTTCCTCAGCCATTCCAGGGGTTCTTAATCATTAAAATTTTATTGTAATTAATGGAATCTACTGATTTAGTTTAAATATTTACCTTGTAGTTTCTCAGGTTCTCAACGACGCAGGCCATCAGAGCGTCCTTTCCAATGGTAACTGTAACGTTTTGGATTGGTTCTGCAAACCGCGGCAGAACTGAATCTGAAACTGCAAAAGTATACTTCCATTAATCGTTGATTTAGACATGTATCGTATTATTAATTTAAATTTTAAAACATTTTTGAAACATGTTCAATTAAAGTGTCTACTTTGAAAAACATCGATAACCATTCTATAGTTACTTTTACTGTGCTGCTAAGGATTGAAATTTATTTTGGTTTTGAAATAATAGATAGTCGTATGATAAATTTTTTTTTTCTTTTAGTATCCAATCATTAGGGGAGAATGAAGGTTCGTTTTCATTCATTATGGCGCAGTATAGAAGAATGGCGCTCTTTTCCTAAAATACCAAGCAACCATTTACTCCAGCACTTAATGCCGACGATCACCGCTGTTCCAGTAGCAATCAAATCGGTTTTGGGCCACGGGCTAGTTCAGATTACAGGCGCTTTAAAGACTATTAAACCTTTATGTATCGTTAATAATAGTATATTAATTTTTGTAACATTTTTAAGTCCGCTGAATTGAAAGATGAGCAACGGTTTCTGACCGCTCATTTCTACCAAATATAAACAAAGATAATTTCAAGAATGCCTTTGGAGAAAATTTAATTATAACATTACTGTAGGACAATATTAATCTATAATGTTTAATCTACGAGGCTATCAATATATTTAATATTTACTTTCAAAATAATCCTTTGATTATATAGGTTGTTTTTTATTGGCATTACACACTTCTTAAATATTTTTCTGCTTTAACAAGATCTTTCCATCTCTCTCTATCTTGGACTTTTCTTTCCAGTTATCTGGATGCAGCTCCTTTGCAAATTTGTTCATTTTTTCTAACCATCTGCTTTTTGGCCTTCCACATGACACCATTAGGGCGCCTATTTCCATTGATGGTGTCCATAAAAGTGATTATAGATGGTTGGGTGGATTTATGATGCAATTGATGAGCTCAGCGTTGAGTTTAGAAACCTCTCCGTATAGATCATCGTACATTTGAGAAGAGGAGAAGCTTTTAAGGAAAATTAAATGCCAATGAAATAAACATATAACATAAAATTTACATGAGTCAAGAGTGGTTTAGGAGTTGAAACCACAATCTAAATTTAATATGGGACGTCCTATGAAATATTCAATGGTACAGAGACTGAACTTCTCTTTAAAAGGGCGACTACAAGAACTGATGGCTTTTTGACAGTTGAGCACGAAGTTAAACAACGTAATGAGCTCAACTTTGTCAGAATCATCCCCACCACACATCTCCTATCCAAGTTTACCAAAACAAACATACATGGAATGGACATACTTTATCTGTACAGTATTATTATATATCGATGAAATAATAAAAACAAATTTTAAATATTCTAAAATAAAAGAGTAAATAAATACTTTCAATTTAAAATTTATGTAACACATAAGAAGGGTAAGTATTGCGTTTGAGATAAAATTTCGAATTCGAGTTTTCAATTTTTGAAATTTAAAGAGCCAAGCTCAAAATTACAATTTTATTCAAAATTGAAATTACGTATTTAGATGAAGTACATGTCAGGGATGCTACAGCAATTTTGTCGCCAATATCTACTTACCGAAATTTGCACTTACCCGTTTTTCTCGAAAATGGAGTTAAAGATTTCGGCCTAACTTGTTATATCAATTGCTATAACGGCGTTAAAATTGTATTAAATTCCGGGAGGAGAGCCCAACAGGGTTCAAATGTCGAATTTTCTCAATTTCCTATTCTAAAGTGCTTTTGGTTTTGCTTATTTGAAATCATTGATTTTTATAATTAATTATAACCGAATAAAGGCGAAATGGGAGCTAGTAGGAACTATCTACCAGCAAACTATCTGCATGTAAGAGATCTCACTGAGTTATTTAAATCATTTTTATTAAAATCGGTCGCGCCGATCGCTTAGAAAGTCGTTAAATATTCTTTAACAAACATATTAAACACATTTTATATAATAGTTTGTCGGTGTTTTAAGCCCAATTGTTTCTCATCACCTAATCTTATCAAATAATTTGACCCGTTAAATTTAAAAATCGGTTTAGGCGTTCGCTCGAAAAATCGTTACATACTTTTTAGCGTACAACCCAAACATATAAAACTTTTTATGACTTCGCTGTAGTTGGAAGAAAAATGACTATTAAACAATATCTTCTTAAAGGTAAATCTGGAACATAATTAAATTAAAATGTATTTCTTTAAACCTAGTCATGTAGTTTTAGGAATATAGAATTATTGTCTTCTTGTTACCTGAGGATCGAATAACAGTGGTGGGATAGTCAATATTTCTTTTGTCGGAACAATTAGTAAGACCGAAGTATCATGGTCTGTTTGTTGCTATTCCATGAAATTCCATGAAAAGAATTCATTAATCGTTTGAAATTCGAGCACCGATAGGCAGCAATTTATTCTAAGGTTAGGAACAATCTGCTGGGTTCCAACGGAAGTTTGTCATCGACGAATAAAGAAAGGTGCTTACTTCCATTTATGGAGCTATCGATGAGTTTAGGAACCTGATAGGTTTTCAATGCCAATCAATGAGCCTGTTGCTGAGTTTAAGAACCTTCTGTTATGTTGCACGGTTTTTGATAAACATTTTATCTCTTCATGTCTGCACTCGAAATCTTTTTAAATCACTTTTTTTAAACTCTTAGAATATTTTTTCACAACAGTTTATGTGAAACTTCTTTTCCTTCTAATGAACGTTTTTGAAATAAAGTATCAGATTTATAGTAAAAGTTTAACTTATATTTATTCAAATTTTTAGAAAAAGTTCCATTTAATGAAAAAAATAACTGTAATTGTGCTTAGATTGCAGTTATAATTTGTCTTGAATTAATTGCACATTCTATTCGATATTATCCTTTGTTTGAGAAAGAAAAAAATAAATTTTATCCTAGGACGTTTAGTCCCCTAATAATAACAAACATGTACAATGATAATAACATTATAATATTGATTTGTCTGGCACATAATGGCATACAAATAATAATTTGGTTACAAAGTTGTGTAACATTTAAATTAAAATAAAGTGATATTCTAAATATTCATATAATATGATTAAATTATAGGTAAATTGATGTTTGTGTGTTTACATATTTGCACGGTAAATAATATAAATAATATTTTTGAATTAACAGTAGAATAAAATGATGAAGTTTTGCTTATAGAGGTGGGTAAGGAATTCCAAAACAAGGTAGCACGCATTATAAAGTTTTTTCAAAATAAACTGTTTTGTCAGAAGGAATAGACAGGTTTGTGGGCTTGGACCTCGTATTGAAAGAATGGGCAGAGGAACAATGAGTGAACAATTCAAGAAGGTATGAAGGTTTTCTGGTTGTAACGATTCACAAAAGGACTACACCTTGGAAATATTGCCTTCAAGAAACTGGATATAGCCACTTCAACTCGAAGTACCGATTGCAAACTTGGGAGCTCCTAGGTCCTCCGCAGATGAATCTAATGAAAAAATTCATTAGACTTTTCAACCCAACCTTAAGTCCATACTTAAAAGTCCATATGGCCTTACAAGGCAGCCATAATTAAAGTTGGGAAAAAATAAGTGAGGAAACTAAAGCTGACGGGTATTAAAGCGGATAGAATCACGGAATCTTAGAAACTATTTAAGAAAATGTGTAGCGATAGATTTTGTGATGAATTGGGAAACATGCTGATTCCAGGACGAGGGTTTATCAAACATTACCCCAAGGTTTCTAACGGAAGCTTGGAAGCGAATAGATTGACCATTAAGATTGAGTAGCTAAGAATAAAAGTAAATTTTATATCGACTTCTTACCGAAACCGACACAACTTTTTTTTTTAAATAAAAATTGCTTAAAACCTTTACATTGACAATAAAAATTCCAGTGATATCGAAATATTTTAAAAATAGTTTTTTTCCGTTTATAGCTCTGCTTTTAATTGCTTCATTGTGAATTATGCGAATATTTTTCACTTCCCTATGTCCTATATTTTTAATTTGTTTTATGCTTCTGATATTAATTAATGAATAAAGAATTAATTAATCGATTCATTTAACGCGATGTAAAAGATAAACATCTCTAAGCATGAGAAATAAACAGAGCTTTTTATAAAAATAAAATTTAAAGTTGGACATAACTTCACCTCTCACTTATTTTTTGTACCGATTTTTAACAGAAACAAAACTGTTCTTTTTCACGACCTAATATGATTCTAGTGTTTTCTTTTATCCATTTTAACCCTCCAGTAATTCAATTAAAAAAAAAAAAAATGTGACCTCGCCTGTTTTTCCTCCGTTCTCTATATATATCCTGATAAGTAATCGTGTTTACTCTTGTGTTACTATTAAAATGTTATAAACTTCTTATTTAGAATCAGTTTCTAATAGCTGTGAAATGGGATTCCCAACTATGATTTGAACCATTTCATATATATTTTTTTTTTTTTTAGTAAAACAGTAAAATTATTGCTAAGTACATTCAGTACGACCAATAGGCAACTAATTCTTTTATTCTTCTTATTTTATCTAATCTTCTTTTAAATTCTTTCATCTACAATTAATTAATAAACAGTACTGAAATAATTAATATAATTTCGTAACTTTATCCGCAGACATTTTCTATTAATATAACACTTAGACGCAATTATACGATACATATAAATAAATAACTAATTATATTTTAAAACTACCTGACTATTCAACTAGGAGAGTAACAAATATAGTGTTCAGATACCTCGGCAGCTCGATAACCTTCGAAAAGTTGATGGAATCCGATAAAAAAAAACTGAACCGCTGCTGGAAACCGTTTTCTATGAGGTTTACAGAAGGCCCTTGAGTTAAAGAAGCTCTCAAGAAGGGATAAGCTCCTATAAGACAGTAGTAAAGCTCCTATAAATATCTATAAGAAGTAGTAAAGGTCCAGTTATGGACCTTACTGAAGAAAACAAGAGTGTTTTGAAAGTATGGAAGAATGAATGAAAGAAAGAAGAAAACAAGAGTGTTTTGAAAGTATGGAAGAAACAAGTTTTGCCTTGAATATCTGATATCCGGT